GACTGACAGGCAGACAGGCTGACAGACAGACAGACAGACAGACAGACAGACAGACAGACAGGAAGGCAGGCTGACAGGAAGGCAGGCTGACAGACAGGCAGACAGGAAGGCAGGAAGGAAGCAGCAACCTTTTCAACTTCAGATATAAACAGCTTAACTCTTCCTAATCCATTACCTTAAAATGAACCTGGCAATGCTCCAAACCCCTGACAGGTTGATGCTTCCACAGGAAAGGGGAGGTGTGGCTCGATGGTTGACTAGTCTGGTTAGTCGTGGAGATCCAGACCACACCACAGACTGACTGGTTAGTCGTGGAGATCCAGACCACACGACAGACTGACTGGTTAGTCGTGGAGATCCAGACCACACGACAGACTGACTGGTTAGTCGTGGAGATCCAGACCACACGACAGACTGACTGGTTAGTCGTGGAGATCCAGACCACACGACAGACTGACTGGTTAGTCGTGGAGATCCAGACCACACGACAGACTGACTGGTTAGTCGTGGAGATCCAGACCACACCACAGACTGACTGGTTAGTCGTGGAGATCCAGACCACACGACAGACTGACTGGTTAGTCGTGGAGATCCAGACCACACGACAGACTAACTGGTTAGTCGTGGAGATACAGACCACACGACAGACTGACTGGTTAGTCGTGGAGATCCAGACCACACGACAGACTGACTGGTTAGTCGTGGAGATCCAGACCACACGACAGACTGACTGGTTAGTCGTGGAGATCCAGACCACAGACTGACTGGTTAGTCGTGGAGATCCAGACCACACCACAGACTGTCTGGTTAGTCGTGGAGATCCAGACCACACGACAGACTGACTGGTTAGTCGTGGAGATCCAGACCACACGACAGACTGACTGGTTAGTCGTGGAGATCCAGACCACACGACAGACTGACTGGTTAGTCGTGGAGATCCAGACCACACGACAGACTGACTGGTTAGTCGTGGAGATCCAGACCACACGACAGACTGACTGGTTAGTCGTGGAGATCCAGACCACACCACAGACTGACTGGTTAGTCGTGGAGATCCAGACCACACGACAGACTGACTGGTTAGTCGTGGAGATCCAGACCACACCACAGACTGACTGGTTAGTCGTGGAGATCCAGACCACACCACAGACTGTCTGGTTAGTCGTGGAGATCCAGACCACACGACAGACTGACTGGTTAGTCGTGGAGATCCAGACCACACGACAGACTGACTGGTTAGTCGTGGAGATCCAGACCACACGACAGACTGACTGGTTAGTCGTGGAGATCCAGACCACACGACAGACTGACTGGTTAGTCGTGGAGATCCAGACCACACCACAGACTGACTGGTTAGTCGTGGAGATCCAGACCACACGACAGACTGACTGGTTAGTCGTGGAGATCCAGACCACACCACAGACTGTCTGGTTAGTCGTGGAGATCCAGACCACACCACAGACTGACTGAGCATCCCAAATGGTACCATATTCTTTATGGGCCCTGGTCAAAGTAGTGCACTAAATAGGTATTAGGGTGCAATTTGGGATGCAAGCTAGGTCTGTGGTTGGAAGGGTGATGAGGATGGCGTGTGTGTGTGCGTGCACGTGTGTGTGCGCGCGCGCGTTAACGGCACTCAAGGATTAAGCAAACCTGTAGAGGGAGGGGCAGTAGAGGGACTGGGAGAATCAATACAGTGAGGTAGCTAGGTAACAAGGCCTCAATTCATAATTACTAAAACAGTTAAATCAAGTCATTAACCAGCTGTTCCACGCTTGGTCAGAGAAGGACTACCAAGATAAGGAAGAGGAGAAGGAACTGATGGTTCGTCTGGGGTCAATGAGGTTGTCCTGAGGACTCGGGAGGAAGGGCAACAACAAATAATGTTGTCCATTTGGAAGAAGAGGAAGAATTCTGTGACAGTCCATCTAAGGGCTCCCCTGTGTGAGGGTCAATGAGTTTGTCCTAAATATCGGGGTGGAAGGGCAACAGCAGCAACGGGCTGTCTGGGGGGGGGGGGGGTCTAAGTGAAGAAGTTCATCCACTGTCTCCTGTGTGGGAAAGCATCCCAAGGCTACGTCACAAATAGTACCCTATTCCCTTTATAGTGCACTGGTTAAAAGCTCTCTGGTCACACCATAGTGCTCCGGTGAAAGGTATGTATAGGGAATAGGGTACAGTTTTGGACCCATCCCCAATCTGTCCCCATCTTCATCCTGTGTAGTGCACATCCCCAATCCCAATCTGTCCCCTATCATATCCATCTCCCTGCTTTATCTGTCAGGAGCACGGCCTTCCGCTCACGGCTATATTAAGAGCACAACAGGAGTAATGGGCTGGGTCCCAAATGGCTCTGGTCTAAAGTAGTGCACTATATAGAGAATAGGGTGCCATTCTCTGGTCTAAAGTAGTGCACTATATAGGGAATAGGGTGCCATTCTCTGGTCTAAAGTAGTGCACTATATAGGGAATAGGGTGCCATTCTCTGGTCTAAAGTAGTGCACTATATAGGGAATAGGGTGCCATTCTCTGGTCTAAAGTAGTGCACTATATAGGGAATAGGGTGCCATTCTCTGGTCTAAAATAGTGCACTATATAGGGAATAGGGTGCCATTCTCTGGTCTAAAGTAGTGCACTATATAGGGAATAGGGTGCCATTTGGGACGCATTCAGGGCCTGGGGGACAGATTAGGGCCTAGTGTTATCAGGTAGGGTCATGTAAGGGGGGGGGGGGGGGCTGCAAATGAACATGCCAGATGGACCAAACAGAAAATAGGAAGTAGCTTCTGAGTGACGTAAGGGTGGCTACGTTGAAAATGGCACACTATTCTCTACATAGTGCACTACTTTTGACAAGATCCCTATGGGTTATGTGCACTATGTAGGAAATAGGGTGCCATATGGAGGCAGGCTCGAGCAGAAAACAGGAAGTAGGTACTGAGTGACGACAGACAGTGCTTCCAAGCCAGGTGAGGTAAAGACTGCGCAATACGGTCCGTGTTTTCCTGACAACAGGAAAGGAGCTGGAAGTATCAGTGAGAGTGCAGCCTGCAACATCTATATTTGACTTGTGTTTTTCTCAAACGCTTCAGCAAAACAAGACACTTCGGGAATGGTGTCAGAAGTCAGCCAAAAATATCTATAATAACTGCCCTGGTAGACGTGTAATGCACATGAACATAAGACATGAACATAAGATGACATAGTTGATTCCAAACACCTTCTGTAAGTCAACGCTTACTACAAAGTGATTTACACGGGTGTCCCTTGAGGAATCCTCAGGTGGTCTAGAGAAGTGGTTCCCAAACTGTGGGGGGCGTGAGGGGTCGGGGGGGGGTCGGCGTGTGGGGGGGGGGGGTCGGCGTGGGCTCAGTCCAGCTTTCAACTTACTCTTGAAAGTTGTCGAAAGCACAAGGTGCAATTTCGAATTTGTTTTCCTCTTGCCATGTCAGTCATTCCATACCTTAGAGAGCTACTTATAACTTGTCAGAAATGTCCAGATCAACTAGCCCATGTCAGCTAACGTTTCTTCTTGTTTTTTAGCCCATAGATTTTGTAGTAATGTTTGAGCCACTCAAATATCACATGAATATACATTAGACATGGCAAAATGTATAGAATTGCAAGAACATTTACAACTGCAAACTGTTCTCTGCACACCATGACAAAATGAGTAGAATTGTAGGACATAAGCTTCAACCTGTAATTAGCCTACTTCACCTAGATACTTTTGTGCCCGTGTTTAGGAAAGTGTCAAAACCATTTTTTGGGGGGGGGGGGGTTGTCATTCTTGACCGTCTCCTAGATCTGAGTCATGTCACAACCAGGGCCGGATCTATGTTGGATGCAGGGTTGACATTAAACCGATTATACAAAACTGATGTATCACGATCAGAAGTACAAAATGGTAAAATACACAAGAGATGCGACTGATTCACATGGGGATATTTTCGTTTTGTCTCCAGGACATTGAGGCTTAGCTACAACCTTCAAAAAGGCAATGAGTCATATCTATTTTTATACACTTTGCTCCGAATGGGAGTTATAGTTTATTGCACAAGTCATTTTATACAATGTGTGACTGTCGCCTTGAATTGAACTACCGGTATTCACTTGAAAACTGAATCTAAATAAATTCTAATATGGGCTAAGCCCGGTAAAACAATTGAACAGCGCATTTGATAAAAAGAACATAGCAACATTGGTTGTCACTCAACTAATAAAGCCTAATAATTTCACAAGCCACTTTACAAACATTTGAATGCTGAAGGTGACATGCAGATGTGCCCGATCAGGAATAGGCCTCTCTTATTGGTCAATGCACGAAGCTGTGCACAGTGCACAGTTTGACTAGGCTCCTGATATTGCCTGGGTTTGTTCGGCATTCCAAATGACTTGTAGATTAATGACTGTCAACATAATTACATGTTTAGTTTTGACACTGAAGGAGAGGAAGCAGTCGTCACAAAGATAAGAGGTATTTTCGGAAGGTAGAAAGAAAGTCATTTGAGCAAAAAATATTAGACGGCGATTCGTAACGTTTGAATCGATTTCCTGACCGATGTCTCTCCTCTCCTGATTGAGTGCCAGTAAGCAGTGACATCCAAAACCCCAGGTAACCGACCCCCCCCCACCCCAGGTAACCGACCCCCCCCCCACCCCAGGTAACCGACCCCCCCAGGTAACCGACCCCCCCCACCCCAGGTAACCGACCCCCCCCCCCCCCCACCCCAGATAACCGACCCCCACGTAACCTTCAGCCTCCTGGACCACAGGGAATTTTGACTGTCACATGACAGGATCTGACATTGCACCCTATTCCCTATATAGTGCCCTACTTTTGACCAGGGCCCATAGGGAAGGGAAACAACGGTGGTCTGTTAGCATTAGCATTAGCACTAGCATTAGCACTAGGATGCCATTTCAGATGCAGCCATGTCCTATGTCTAACCTCCAGGGCTCACATCTCAAAGTGACTTCCCCCGGTTAAATAAAAACATTTAATAAAAACCTTTGGTGAACTTCATGTAGTGGACCCTCTTCTTGGACGTCTTTGACTTCTCCTCCAGGCTGAAGGACTTCTCCTGCTGTTTCTCTGACGGGGCTTCTGAAAACAAAAACAACGACAATCAAAACCTTTCATCTCTTAGATGTTAAGTCTCCTATATGGGGGGACTTTTGAGCGGTTCTGGAGCGGTTCTGGAGCGGTTCTGACTGACATTTTGGTATACAAAGCGCTCTGTGAACGTCGTAGGGTCCCATTCCTTATAGTGCCAGAAAGACCCCATCTGTCTGCTCTGAAACTCACAGCAAAGCGCATATGAAACGGGAGAGTTTAGTAGTTTCATCTCATTGTGTTATTCTCAGCCGGATTTAGAGCTCTCAACGTGAAAGAATACCATATCAATTAATGGGATTGAAACAAGGCCACTTTCTCTTGGTCACAGACGTACGGACCCTATGGTCAACTACCTTCCCCTAAATGGTACAATAGCACCCCCTAGTGGGCTACTGCTTTCCTGTGAATGTTACAATAGCACCCCCTAGTGTACAGTAGCACCCCTTATGTACATACACATGGAATACTGGTCACTTTGCCAGCTGCATCCCACTGCTGGCTTTCCTCTGAAGTTAAGCAGGGTTGGTACTGGTCAGTCCCTGGATGGGAGACCAGATCCTGCTGCAAGTGGTGTTGGCGGGCCAGTAGGAGGCACTATTTCCTCTGGTCTAAAATAAAAGATCCCAACGCCCCAGGGCAATGATTGGGGACATTGCCCTGTGTAGGGTGCCATCTTTTGGACGGGACGTTAAAACGGCTGTCCTGACTCTCTGCGGTCACTAAAGATCCCATGGCCCTTATCGGAAGAATAGGAGTGTTAACCCCGGTGTCCCGGCTGAATTCCTAATCTGGCCCTCATACCATCATGGCCACCTAATCATCCCCGGCATCCGATTGGCTCATTCATCCTCCCTCCTCTCCCCCCTGTAACTATTCCACAGGTCGTTGCTGTAAATGAGAACGTGTTCAGTCAACTTACCTGGTAAAATAAAAACACTTTAATCATGTTTACATACTGTTTTACTCATGTTATATGTATATGCTGTATTCTAGTCAATGCCATCCTATTAAACTACTGCTGTATATATTCTATCCTACGTATTCTACAGATATACTACATATTCTATCCACATACTGTCCATAATGTCTATACATCCCATCACATACACACGAACACACTTATACTCTGTACTCCGACATTGATAGCCCTAATATTTATATATTTCTTAATTCCATTCTTTTACTTTTAGATTTGTGTGTATTGTTGTGAAATTGTTAGATATTACTGCACTGTTGGCACTAGGAACACAAAAATGTAGCTACAACCACAATACATCTGCTAAATATGTGTATGGACCAATACAATTTTGATTTGATTTATTGGGCAACTAATTGTAATTATTTTGCACTGTGGCCTATTTATTGCCTTACCTCCATAACTTGCTACATTTGCACACACTATATATATTTTCTGTTGTATTTTTGACTTTATGTTTTGTTTTACCCCATATGTAACTCTGTGTTGTTGTTTTTATCGCACTGCTTTGCTTTATCTTGGCCAGGTCGCAGTTGTAAATGAGAACTTCCTTCCCCTGAATGTTACAATAGCACCCACTAGTCATGCATATCTGACGAGTGAGTTTATGCACAGAGTAATGCACGTTGTATATTATTCTGTCCGTCTGTCTGTGTGTGTCTTTACCATTGGCAGTGTTTTGACCATGGCAGTTGTTGAGGTCCGCCAGGAGCTGGTTAAAGTCATCCTGATGGGCGATCCAGTTGTCCTGGAAACAGAACAAATTACATCAAAACAAGGACGTAACTTGGAGACATTCATTTGTAAAACACTGTACGTCACGCCAGTCTTGAGTATTCTGGGTCGTATTCTCTAGAAAACAAAAAGAAGAAAGGACTACCTGAAATTGTTTAATAAGCAATTATCATTTTTGTTTTCTGTTGCAAAACGTTTTGCTACAATGTGCACTAATAAATAAAACCCTGAACTTCTCCATTAAGAAACACTTGTTGACAGTGTGCCTTAATGAACACAACCCAGTTGTCCACTCACGTCGTGGCTGGTAGTGGTTCCCAGCCCCAGTTGGTTGTTCTTCACTTTGACTTTGACGTGTTCTGTGGAGCCCTGCTCAGTTCTTCCCAGGCCCTGGTAGAGACAGATGAACATGTCATTCCTAATGATGCCAAAACAGTTAGATACAGGCTCTTTCTTAATTTGTGTTGCCTCGATTCCTCTCTCCTCGCCGCCTCCTCCAAACGCATGGAAAATAAAAGTATGAGGGGAGGGACCTTGGACCTTCTCCAATACAGTCAGTTGAAAAGGAGGCAAAGGGACAGGACGCAAGGAGGAAGCCCAGGAAGACAAATTGTCTTGAGATTGAGCTACAGTGACATACCGTCACTAGTATACTGTTAGTTTATCATTGGTTTGCTAAGACAAAGCCCACAGTACCTTTCCCTTGGACCAGCCCATTCGCTCCAGCATTTTCTGGCCGAACTTGGACTCATCTTTACTCCATGCGCTGTTCCGCGGGTCAACAGACCACTTCTGTTTTCTCCGGGCTAAACATCAAACCATAATAGAATTTAAAAAAACAATACTTGAGTTATTGGTCCATTTGCACCGACATTATTTTATGCTGTCACAGTACCCAAACTGACAACAGGCTAGCTTGTAGATCTGGTCCACTACCCGGGGTACTTCGGCGGTAAACCAAGTGCTCAAACGCAGTTTGTTTCGAATTTGAGAAATTGCAACTTACACATACAAAATAAAAGTTACTCAGCACTCAAGTCAGATATTTACTTCGGTGAGTGACGACAGTATATTAAAACCAGTCACTAAACAAAATCGGGAAAAGCTCAACATCCTCGACCAGAGCTAGCTGGTTAACTGTCTGTCAAAGGTCTCAAGATTATGTAATTAATCACATTGGCAATGATCAGAAATGAGATACAAGACATCTTAAATATACCAACACACTAAAGAACGTTATTTATTAAGTTAGTTAGACCGGATGCACTCAACTTGTTTAGCTAGTTGAGAGGTTTACTAGAAACTTGCTAGCTAGTTACCGGTAAATGTGATTGTGGTTAGCATTATGCTCGCTAGCTCGACAGATTTTCGAACCGCACATGTACTGAGGCACTTTTAAATACATAAATTGCACTAAATCGATGTTGACTTCTTCAGACAACACGACACAACAAATATTTTTTGTTTCTCTAATGTCTGAACCACAAAATATTGTTTAAAACATTCGATGTAGCACTTACGTTCGGCAAGCATGGACATGCTGGGGTCTTTAAACACGTTGACGGAAGCCGGCGAGGGTGCCCTGAAGTGCCTGTATAAAATGGTTCTTACTTTTCATCTCTGTCGAGAACTAAATGCACACACTCTTGATTCATAATACTTCGAATGTCATTTAGCTATCTACATAGCTACAGTTGATCATTTTTGTCTCTTCTAATAACACATATTCTATATTTTTCATACCCGAGTGAAGTGTAAATGGTGTTTTACAACACTAGGGGGCGACAAGGCGCCGTCGTACAAATAAAGGTACCTCTCAAATTGCTCAAATGGTCAGTGCTATCCAGAATACTTGGGACGTCCATACCCTAAACCCTAACCTTAACCCTAACCTTAACTCTTACCTAACCCTAACCTTAACCATTTTAAATGTAAACTTCAATGGGGGTAGGGACATCCCAAGGAGTCTGGATAGCACAGACCTGGATCAAACCAGAGCGGAAGAGGCAAAGTGATAGGTTTTACTCGACCCAGGATTCCATCTAACCTTTTTATTCAAGTAAAGTACATGTTGGATAAAAATATATAATGACAGGGCCAGATGGAAACAGCAAATGAGTCAGTTATGAATGCACTGATATAAGTGGACGCAGTGGCATTTCAGCAACTTTGTAAAAAAATAAAATTTTGGGGAGTTGTGCCTGCCATGGAGATAGATTGGATGACTCATCATGGCTATAACCCGTTTTAGCATGGACGTTGCAATTGAGGGCTTCCACCATTTTTAATGTAGTCAACTGGGTGGGGATTCCTATGAGTTGGGAGCGATCGGCCAATGAAGAAGAAGAAAATGGACTGCTTTGACGTGGAGATAGTCTCAATGGCGCAGCCCACGCTGTCACGGACGCTACAGTGGCACAGATACAAAGACGAGTCCTCTATCTAGATCTATGGGCTTGGCGTTCAGAGGTGTATCTGCCCTCTCATTGGCTAGAATGGTCACACCTGATCTCGCCTCCTCCCCGCCTGCCTTTGGTCTTTGAGGACATGTGCAGTGTTTCCATTGTTACAGCGGTCACTTGGCAATCTTTGTCCCTATAATAGACAATCTTTGCTCAAACGTATCATCGGTGCTGAGATGAGAGGCTGCAATAATTGTTTGACTAGAATGTAAATAGCCTGCAGCGGCAAGAGCAAAAAAACTAAGCGCACAATTTACACAACAAATTATACAATAAAAATGCACGATATCTAGACACAACTACCACATATACCATGAATCATTAACATCTCTGGAGGTTGAAACTGTTGCATACATTGTGTAGGCTAGGATGACACATTCAACATGGGGTTCAATGGGTTGATTCAACCCACAGCATTTAATTGATTGATATTGTTATTATTAACATAATTATTATTAACTTAATTTACATTGTGTGGCTAATAGGCTATTGGCTGCTACAATGTCTGGGCTGCTGGATTGAACGCTCAGCCACATAGGTAATTCTATGGAGCGCACCTTCCGAGAAGCGACTATTGGCTACCATGTGAATGAATATTAATGTTCTGTTATGTAACGGGTCGCGTGGGGGGGTGTTGTCGCTGCACATGCCACAGGCTTGCCAGCAGATGCCATCAATAAACGAATTATATTTACCACCAGTCCCCTTGCAGGTAGCTCGGTGCAGCGCAGCTCTTCAGTCTACAGTGACTCCCAAAATAGTCCCCTTCTTTTAGGTTTATTTGAACATCTTGGTACATGTGCAGAAACATACATAAAATGTAATAACATGTCATACAATATAAAAAACTAAAAGATATACAGTTGAAGTCGGAAGTTTACATACACCTTAGCCCAAATACATTTAAACTCAGTTTTTCACAATTCCTGACATTTAATCCTAGTAAAAATTCCCTGTCTTAGGTCAGTTAGGATCACCACTTTATTTTAAGAATGTGAAATGTCAGAATAATAGTAGAGAGAATTATTTATTTCAGCTTTTATTTCTTTCATCACATTCCCAGTGGGTCAGAAGTTTACGTACACTCAATTAGTATTTGGTAGCATTGCCTTTAAATTGTTTAACTTCGGCCCAACATTTCCGGTAGCCTTCCACAAGCTTCCCACAATAAGTGGTCCTCTGTAGCTCAGCTGGTAGAGCACGGCGCTTGTAACGCCAAGGTAGTGGGTTCAATCCCCGGGACCACCCATACACAAAAAAATGTATGCACGCATGACTATAAGTGGCATATTATATTATTATATTAAGTTTGGTGAATTTTGGCCCTTTCCTCCTGACAGAGCTTGTGTAACTGAGTCAGGTTTGTAGGCCTCCTTGCTTGCACACACTTTTTCAGTTCTGCCCACAAATGTTCTATAGGATTGAGGTCAGGGCTTTGTGATGGCCACCCCAATACCTTGACTTTGATGTCCTTAAGCCATTTTGGCACAACTTTGGAAGTATGCTTGGGGTCATTGTCCATTTGGAAGACCCATTTGCGACCAAGCTTTAACTTCCTGACTGATGTCTTGAGATGTTGCTTCAATATATCCACATAATTGTCCTTCCTCATTATGCCATCTATTTTGTGAAGTGCACCAGTCCCTCCTGCAGCAAAGAACACCCACAGCATGATGCTGCCACCCCCGTGCTTCACGGTTGGGATGGTGTTCTTCGGCTTGCAAGCGACCCCCTTTTTCCTCCAAACATAACGATGGTCATTATGGCCAAACAGTTCTATTTTTGTTTCATCAGACCAGAGGACATTTCTCCAAAAAGTACGATCTTTGTCCCCATGTGCAGTTACAAACCGTAGTCTGGCTTTTTTATGGCGGTTTTGGAGCAGTGGCTTCTTCCTTGCTGAGCGGCCTTTCAGGTTATGTCGATATAGGACTCGTTTTACTGTGGATATAGATACTTTTGTACCTGTTTCCTCCAGCATCTTCACAAGGTCCTTTGCTGTTGTTCTAGGATTGATTTGCACTTTTCGCACCAAAGTACGTTCATCTCTAGGAGACAGAACTTGTCTCCTTCCTGAGCGGTATGACGGCTGCGTGGTCCCATGGTGTTTATACTTGCGAACGTGGTACCTTCAGGCGTTTGGAAATTGCTCCCAAGGATGAACCAGACTTGTGGAGGTCTACAATTTAATTTCTGAGGACATGGCGATACCATCGCTATCAGCTCACTAATCAGGGTATTACCATCTCTATCAGCTCAATGAGGGACTTACCATCTCTATCAGCTCACTAATCAGGGACGTACCATCTCTATCAGCTCACTAATTAGGGAATTACCATCTCTATCAGCTCAATGAGGGACTTACAATATCCATCATATCATTGAGTGACTTACCATCTCTATCAGCTCACTGATGGACTTACCATCTCTATCAACTCACTAATCAGGGACTTACCATCTCTGTCAGCTCACTAATCAGGGACTTACCATCTCTATCAGCTCACCGAGGGACTTACCATCTCTATCAGCTCACTAATCAGGGACTTACCATCTCTGTCAGCTCACTAATCAGGGACTTACCATCTCTATCAGCTCACCGAGGGACTTACCATCTCTATCAGCTCACTAATCAGGGACTTACCATCTCTGTCAGCTCACTAATCAGGGACTTACCATCTCTATCAGCTCATTGAGGGACTTACCATCTCTATCAGCTCATTGAGGGACTTACCATCTCTATCAGCTCACTATCACTGAGGGAATTACCATCTCTATCAGCTCACTAATCAGGGACTTACCATCTCTGTCAGCTCACTAATCAGGGACTTACCATCTCTATCAGCTCACCGAGGGACTTACCATCTCTATCAGCTCACTATCACTGAGGGACTTACCATCTCTATCAGCTCACCGAGGGACTTACCATCTCTATCAGCTCACTGAGGGACCTACCATCTCTATCAGCTCACTAATCAGGGACTTACCATCTCTATCAGCTCACTAATTAGGGAATTACCATCTCTACCAGCTCAAGGAGGGACTTACCATCTCTATCAGTTCACTGAGGGACTTACCATCTCTATCAGCTCACTAATCAGGGACTTACCATCTCTATCAGCTCACTGAGGGAATTACCATCTCTATCAGCTCATTGAGGGACTTACCATCTCTATCAGCTCACTAATTAGGGAATTACCATCTCTATCAGCTCACTAATCAGGGACTTACCATCTCTATCAGCTCACTAATCAGTGACTTACCATCTCTATCAGCTCACTAATCAGGGACTTACCATCTCTATCAGCTCACTAATCAGGGACTTACCATCTCTATCAGCTCACTAATCAGGGACTTACCATCTCTATCAGCTCACTAATCAGGGACTTACCATCTCTATCAGCTCACTAATCAGGGACTTACCATCTCTATCAGCTCACTAATCAGGGACTTACCATCTCTATCAGCTCACTAATCAGGGACTTACCATCTCTATCAGCTCACTAATCAGGGACTTACCATCTCTGTCAGCTCACTAATCAGGGACTTACCATCTCTATCAGCTCATTGAGGGACTTACCATCTCTATCAGCTCACCGAGGGACTTACCATCTCTATCAGCTCACTGAGGGACCTACCATCTCTATCAGCTCACTAATCAGGGACTTACCATCTCTATCAGCTCACTAATCAGGGACTTACCATCTCTGTCAGCTCACTAATCAGGGACTTACCATCTCTATCAGCTCATTGAGGGACTTACCATCTCTATCAGCTCACTAATCAGGGACTTACCATCTCTATCAGCTCACTAATCAGGGACTTACCATCTCTATCAGCTCACTAATCAGGGACTTACCATCTCTATCAGCTCACTAATCAGGGACTTACCATCTCTATCAGCTCACTAATCAGGGACTTACCATCTCTATCAGCTCACTAATCAGGGACTTACCATCTCTATCAGCTCACTAATCAGGGACTTACCATCTCTATCAGCTCACTAATCAGGGACTTACCATCTCTGTCAGCTCACCGAGGGACTTACCATCTCTATCAGCTCACTGAGGGACCTACCAT